AGCTCTTCTAAACATGTCAGCAGACATGGAAAACGAACTTGACAGATTTTTGATGAGATTCTGTTAGAGTATATTTCTTCCCTAATTTACTGCGACTCCGCATCCTTCCCTGTAAGTCCTTTTTCCTTGTGAAGTAGTAAAGACGTTGGAGCGAAACTTCTTAGGTTTGTTATTGGGTAGATAGTAGAGAGTAGCGCTATTTCGCATGGTATATAAGCATTCTTTCAGTTCAACCATGACTTGATTTTCCGAATCAATGTTGATGGCACACTGTTACTGATGAACTGCTGCAAACGATTCGGCGTTTCACGCTTTGTCTACACGTCAAGTGTTGGCGTTATCTTTGTTGGTAAGGAACTCGTCAACGCCAAAGAGGATCATCCTTATCCTAAGGAATCAGAGGTTTCACTATGAAAATCGGTTTTGCGACTAATATAAGAAGAACTATTCAGTACTTCTCCTGGTACAGTGCATCGAAAGCACGAGCTGAAAAATTGGTTTTGGCTTCGAATTGCACGGAATTGCGGACTTGTGCGCTGCGACTGCGCGGCATCTTTGGACCAGGAGAGCCGCGATCTACCGACAGAGCCGCGGTGAGTTTTTCCCTAATATTGTCGAAGCTCAGTAAACAAAAAAGAAAAGTTTAGAGTATTATCCACAAAGGTTTCTTTATCGCTACCTTTGCGGAGAAAGGCACAGCTCTAACACAGTACAGTGGAATTTACAATGTCATACAAGCAATGTGTAAGGCTGATATGGAACTAGCAAGGGCACGTCCAAGATGTGCAGGAAAGGTGAAGAGTTTTGAAGCATCTTCAGCTCAAAAGCGAATATAATCTGATTTTCCAGGTTTATCACATAGTTGATGCTAATCCTGTGGACTCGTTTATGTTCTGGGCACCACTTATTAGAGCTCTTTCGCAGTCTCCACCTTATATACGCCTTCCTTTTGCACTGATTTACTTCTTTGCTTACCTCGCCGAATGCTTTGCCATATGGTTTGGAATTCCACCAATGCTGAACAGGTGATTTTTTGGCTGACAAATTCTTAGTTAAGATTGCTCTTTTGAGATGATATGATGAAGCAATAAAATCGAATAGGTGGCTTCTTCATTTATTAGGTCTCGTATGAATTCAAC